AGCAGGCCTAATCATAGAAATTGATTCTGGCTGATGACTGAAGCATGGAGCAGGCCTAATCATAGAAATTGATTCTGGCTGATGACTGAAGCATGGAGCAGGCCTAATCATAGAAATTGATTCTGGCTGATGACTGAAGCATGGAGCAGGCCTAATCATAGAAATTGATTCTGGCTGATGACTGAAGCATGGAGCAGGCCTAATCATAGAAATTGATACTGGCTGAAGACTGTAGCATGAAAATGATGTTGAGGTCTATAGTCCATATAACATAAGTCAGACAGACACACACTCCTCTCATTTATTCACACCATGTACGGCTTGAATATATTCATGCATAATACATGTACTACATTGGAAAGTATTGACTGCTATAGATATATTAAACTCTTGTTTTTTTTGTTGTTTTTTTTTAAATAGAATATTAGACAAAACCTGTATGTAATAATAAGTCTTACATGTCTTAAACATCAACAGATCAAAATTACCTTCACTGGAAAAAAAAATCCTGACAGGTCAATACCCTCAGTCTATATAGCAATATAAACAGAAATAAACAATGCTAAGACATCACAGATAATCCATAAATCCAACAAATGAACCAGAAATGCAACAGAGTAATAAACAGCATTTTTGCTTTTCAGATCAAATACTACTGTACAAACAACAAGAATAGGTCGTTTCAGGTCAGTGTCCATGTCATCTGTATAATACATTTCTACTGTGGTGATATAATATTGGAAAAAAATATTATTCAAATTTTTTTTATTCAATATCAAACACAGTTGATACATAATTCAGAGGGCACTTAGGGGTTGTTCCATATAGAACATAACCTCAATAGATTAAGAAGGAAGGTTTTACAAATATAACTTTGTGTTGATAATAAAAAGATTTTATTTTTTGGGGGGGCAAGTGGGGGAAGAGTTCAATACGAAGGGTTTCCCTTAAAATTAGCTTTAAGGATAACTAAATTCCAAATACAATTGTAAATAGATGTTATCATAAGCTTAAAGCTGATACAAATGTTATAACAAAATAATTGCTTTTATTAAATCCTTGTCATATTTCTGTGAAAATTCTGCATCCTGATATTTATGAGGCATGAAAATCCCATTACAATTATTTACAGTATACAGCACAAATCATAAGTTAATGTTTCACAAGTTTATAAAATTGTAATTTGTTAGATCATTAAAATAACAAATTACAAGATAAGAAAAGCGTCTAAGTTAATGAGAAGGCACACTTTTGACCAATTAAAATAATTATATAAACAACATAATGGATCTACTATATGTCAAAACTTATTTATCATGCCATCTCACTACTACTGGGTTCTGTCTTCAACAAAGATAATAGCTTGTACCTATGTTGTTAATATTATACTGAAGTAATTCGTACTGTTACCAAAATATTCATGAACAAACAATTGGAAAGTATTTATGCAGTAGTATGGCCAAAATATACATCTGTCTAATTAAATAAGATATTTATTAGTTAGACATCAGACAATGGCCTTGCTACAAATTATCTAAATATTTCCATTTCAGCTTTAATTATAGTGTATTCCATTAACTGATTAACTAATTTGATAATGTATTGTAAGAACTGCATGAATCCTGCTTTTATATTAGTGATCTGCATTTTACTGTCTTATGATAGCCAATGCCATGGATGCTAGGTAAATTGTGGCCCTCAAGATCACACATAAATTCAGGAATACCCTGATGTGATGTAAAGGACAAATCTCTATGTGAGACTGATTAAGACAGAACTGAAAAAATTGTCTTAGAATAGCCAATGCCATGAATGCTTTGTAAATTGTGGCCCTGAAGATCATACATAAAGTCGGGAATACCCTGATATAAAGGACAAATCTCTATGTGAGACTGATTGAGACAGAATGGAAGAAATAAGATAGCCATTAAAGTTCATTTATGATGCAAACTTAAATTTCTCTTCTGCCTAAAAAAAAGATTTGTTGAAACCAAGATCTGCTTCAGTAGAAAACATGTTTTCATTTATTAGTCTATATTAATCAATGTACTTTCTAATTTGGATTTCCATTATGTAGGCTAAAAATACCAGAATAAATATAGGTTTCCAATCATTTCAAAACCTGTTCATCTAATACTGAGTATACCTGACACCATATGCTTTACCAACTCTTAACTTAAAACTATAAAACTGATATTTGCTTCTATAAATTTACATTAAAAAATAACACTGAGAGAATAAAACATAAACCTCGACAGTGATAGAATAAAAGCAGTGATGTTTCTGACAATATATCTATAATTACTGTCTTTGTTAGATAGTAAACTATTACAAAACAAGTAGCATTGTAAAAACTTGGCATGATTACCACCAAACGTGTGTACATCATATACAAATAGAACCACTTAAATGCAGATACTGCAGAAATGTTTACAACAAAAAAGCCTTAAAACATTATAACATGGGCCTTTTTCAAAATAAAAAGGTCATACTAATAAGTTAAAAACACTGTGCTTGTGGAATAAAATTCATTATGAATGCTTTAAACCCAACACGGGGAAGAAAAAAAAAAACATTATATACAGAGAACTATACAATCAATTAAAAAGATTGGCAGATATCATTTAAAATCAGCTTTGCATATGGCAGCAAGAAGCTCAGCGCTTGTAAAATTTACGTAATTAATGAACTGATATATGAACACTTTTAGATGTAGAGGGTTCCATTTGATATTTCCAGTATTCCTTTGGGTAGTCATAGCTTTATTCTAAGTTTCGCTAAATTCTTTTCATTCTGGAATAATTATTTTGTATTACATATAGAAATTTTTTGGTCAAAAGAGGTATAAACAAGACAAAGATGATGATGATGCCACTGTGGAAGGCTTGAGTATAGTACAGCAAGCACAAGTTTGAAATGTAATAAGCAGTGTGGTTGAAGAACAATTAACTTGAAATGGCATAATATAATTGATGAACCTACGATAGTTATGTCTTTCTAATTCTTACATTTTAAGACAACTTATTGCCTTTTGTTAGCTTAAACTGAACGTTTATAATTAAAATTGTACATGGTAAGTGCCATATCAATTTATTAAACCACTTTTAGTGAATATGGGACCAATGTATAAACACTTACTGAAAATTCTATTTATCATATGACAAGAGTGCACACACAGAAATGTCTCGCCTTCTTTACTGACCATTGATTTTCTGTTGATAGTCCTAAATATAAAGCTTTACTACAATTATCACATAAACTTAACATGATCCAATAAAATGAGGTCACCTTACAATCATTACATACACCAAATATAGTTGGCCTATTGCTTATAGTTTCATAGAAACGAACTTAACCAGGAAAACTTAACATTGACCAATGAACCATGAAAATGAGGTCAAGGTCAGATAAACCATGCCAGACAGACATGTACACCTTACAATCAATCTATGCATTAAATATAGTTGACATTTTGCTTATAGTATCAAAGAAACTAACTTAACCATGAAAACTTAACATTGACCAATGAACCATGAAAATGACATCAAAGTCAGATGATACCTGCCAGACAGACATGATACACCTTACAATCATTCCATACAACAAATATAGTTAACCTATTGCTTTTAGTTTAACACAAGAGTGCACACACTAAAATGTCTCGCCTTCTTTACTGACCATTGAATTTATGTTGATAGTCCTAAATATAAAGCTTTACTACAAGTATCACACAAACTTAACATTATCCAAGAAAATGAGGTCAAGGTCAGATAAACAAAATGGGAAATTCATGTACACCTTACAATCATTCAATACACCAGATATAGTTGACCAATTGCTTATAGTTTCTAAGAAACAAACTTAACCAGGAAAACTAAACATTGACCAATGAACCATGAAAATGAGGTCAAGGTCATATGAACCATGCCAGACATACATGTACACCTTACAATCATTCCATACACCAAATATAGTAGACCTATTGCTTATAGTATCTGATATATGGACTTGACCACGAAAACTTAACCTTGTTCACTGATCCATGAAATGAGGTCGAGGTCAGATGAAAACTGTCTGACAGGCATGAGGACCTTGTAAGGTACGCACATACTAAATATTGTTATCCTTTTACTCATAATAAGAAAGAAATTAACATTACAAAAATTTCTTAACTTTTTTTTCAAGTAGTCACTGAACCATGAAAATGAGGTCAAGGACAATGGACATATGACAGACGGAAACTGCATAACATAAGGCATCTATATACAAAGTATGAAGCATCCAGGTCTTCCACCTTCTTAAATATAAAGCTTTTAAGTCATTAGTTAACACCGACGGATCACTATCCCTATGTCTAGCTTTCTGCGACAGAGGGTGCAGGCTCCACAAAAAGTCATCCTCAATGCATTTTGCTTCATTATGTAATAACTAAAGTTGTAAAAGGACTAAGGCGGACAAACCATGTACCCTGCAAGCATATTTTCACAAAGAATTGACAAAGTTCATCATCTTATCTTTAAAGAAAGTTTGTCAAAAATCAAAATCCTGATAATATCACAATCTTATTGCCAGTATTTGTACTATAATTCTAACACCTTCCATAATATAAGTTCTAGCTGAAAAATCATAGTAAGGGCTAGCAGGAAAAACTTTGTACCCTATGTGAAACATAAGACAGAGAGTCAAAGGGAAACTATATATGCCTCTCTCTGACATTTTTATTAGTAGGGGGAGATAAAAATTATGCAGTCATGAACATACACTGTGGATTCGTTAATATTTTTGGGATACAAACTTTCATGTATTTTGTGGGAACAGGTGAACCACGAATTTAAATGGTCAATGAATTAAAAAATTTCTGTAGGGTTGTAAGCAGACTTTGGCAAAACCACAAATCACATATTCATGAAAATGCAAGTTTTCCTCAATCCACAAAAAATAGTACCCACAAAAATAAATGAATCCACAGTATATAAAACGGCCCAAAAAAACCCACTTACCAACACTGACTTGAGGCAAGGAAACTGCTGCAGCTATATCTGGAAAAACAAAAACAAAACACTATTGTTATTGTTATATCATGACAGACATGTTAATTGTCTAACTAGTGATGTAATATATAAGGACATTGCCAAAATCATATTCTAGATGAGCAAGATTCTTCTAGAGCTCACAATTTAGTCATCTATGCTTACACTTGCACGTACTGAGGTAGTATTAAAAGAATTTAATCGTTTCTATACATCATTTTATATTAAATTCCCAAAAATGTGTTGGTTTCTAAAAAACTTGGTCATGGTCAAGATGGTAGAATTTTTACTTTCTGTAATCTTTTGACACTTTTCAATGATTTTCCATTATAGTCATTTACAAATAAAGCTCAGGGTTCTCACTAAGGATTTTTTCAGGCGCATTCAGGGACTCATCATTATTGGCGGATTTAAAGTTCTGTGGAGAAACAATATCAATGTCTTAATTAATTTATATCATAACATATTAGAAAAGACTCATATCTAACAATCCTTTTTTTTACTTTTGCAATGAAATAATGGTGACTAGACAAAGCAGATACAATTGTGAAGCATCGTTCAGAAAATGATGAGTCAAGTCTAATTTTCATGATATCATACATAACAAAAAGCATATATTGTACCCTCAATTATCTCCTGTATCTAATGAATGATTCCTACAGCCATGGAAGTAAAATTCAATTACAGTACTGATATATAGGTCACAATGTCGCCATTAAGTTGACAAAAACACTTGAATGCATCCAAAATCTACATCACTTTATTACAGTAGGTTAAACAAGAATATGTGTCCATAGGACACTATGTCCTCCTTGGACTATCCCATTACAATCAACTGTGAAATCTGGGTCAAAATCCGTATTTGGTATACATTTTAAAAATTTCACAACCTAATAAAACATGTGTACTAAGTTTCAAGGTGATGTGATCACAATTTCATTGTTTAGTGAATTGCAAAATTTATATAAAAACCCTAACTTGGCATATATTTTTAAAAGTCACATCATTATAAACATCACCACAAAGGTGACTAGAGTATAGAAATATGGAAATCTTGGGTCTTCTTCTGACAGGCAGTGAATACCCTTATTCCAAAGGCAGTCAAAATTTCCCACCCTTCATATCCCGTATGACCTACCAACCAGAATCTACCTAATTTATTTTGATTGTTTACAGTTTTTTCTTCTTGAATATTGCATGAATTGATTGCCACTTGAATATTGCATGAATTGATTGCCACTTGAATATTGCATGAATTGATTGCCACTTAAATATTGCATGAATTGATTGCCACTTGAATATTGCATGAATTCATTGCCACTTGAATATTGCATGAATTCATTGCCACTTGAATATTGCATGAATTCATTGCCACTTGAATATTGCATGAATTCATTGCCACTTGAATAGAGCATGAATTAATTGCCACTTGAAGTTAAGCAAGCAACAACCAATCAATCTTTATACTGCAACTAGTTGTGTTTATGTCCTAAATATAGTAACACAGCTATATTTTGTGCAATGTCAATTTCATCATGGATCACTTTTTCCACAATCAGGGGTTCATAAAGGGATGAAAATAAGTTTGAAATTTGTGTTACAATTTAAAAAGCTATCAATGTATTAATTTAAGTTGTACTATAAAAACAATATTAGGTCAATGTCAGAAAAATATAAACTTTTTGTATTCAGCACAAAACTGGGAAAGGGCTCGGTAAAACCTCGCCCTTCCCAATTTATCAGCCTCATACAAAAAAGTTTATATTTTTCTGAAATTGACCTAATATTGTATATTTATAAACATGTGTACAAAGTTTCAAGTAAATGACCAAATACAAAATAAACTGTTGACACAGAGATAATTTAGAAAAAGACAATCTGATGGACAGCAACATTGCCAATTAATTCAAAGTCACTGGACCATGAACTAGGGAGCAGGGCCTCGAAATAGTTGTCAAATTGATATGTGCTGATAGTAATGCAACTTTATAGAAAATATCATTGATCTATCACAAGAAGTTCCTAGCAAACTAACTCCAGCAGAAAAATTAACATTGAAATTTGCTTACTAACTGAAAGTTGCTGGACCATGACCTAGGGTGCAGTTCCTCAAAATAGTCGTCAAACTGTTATGTATTGATAGTAATGCAACTTTATAAAAAAGTGGTTCCTATCAAACTGACTTAAGCAGAAAACTTACCCATCATTGACACCTCCAACGACGCTGCTGGAAAAGCAACACCTATGTCTCCCCTTTCGCGACGAAAAATGGATAAGGAACAAACCAACATAAAGCCCCTCTATTATTGTAGGCTGGGCATAAGAATTATTCGAAAGATAACAGTTTAGCTTAAGTCAGTAAAAGAATGAAAAATAGGATAAGAATAGCCTTACATGATCATAAAGGCCATTTGTTTATCCTTTTGAATTGTTTCCAATTTATTCCCGATGGGGCCTTTTATAGCTTTTATATGGTATGGATTTTGTTCATTGTTGAAAGTCACATACAGAATGAGTTTTGCTTAGTTATCTTGTCCCAAACAAACTGACCTATTCTAAAACTTTTAACATTTATAACAGTTACGCAAAAGTTTCAAAGTCAATAGACCATGACTGAAGGGGCAGAGCATATAATCTCAAGGAAATGAGATATGCCAATGCTACTTTAACTGCATACCAAATATCATGGTAAAAACCATTAGTGGTTCTCTTAAACTGACATAACCACATGCTATAACAAATTGTTGACGCCACTGCCACTGAAAACATCAGGCCTAAGTTGAGGCAAAGATAAGATTCTGCAAATTATAAAATACACAACTCTGGACACTGTAGACAGGGAAAAACAATATGTGTCACTAGTATTTGTCATTATCTACTTTTCTCCCAACATGCTGTACTTCTCGGCTGACTTAGATCATGGGATATCTTTAAAAATTGATCAAAAACTTATTTTATAAGAATCTGCTTGGTATTTTATTATTACAAATTTGAACAACTGCTAGTAATGTCATGTGAGATTATCTAACCTGATTTCCATACATCAGAATATCATTAGCAGAAATTAAAATCTATTTTAAGTCATAGTGATGATCATATTGGTTTGCAAATCATATTGTATTTAAAAATAAAAAAGAAACCAACAGATGACTTTCTTGTTGGTGTTTGGTTTAAATAGCATTTCAGAGAAAAACTGGTTTACTTCAATGTTCTACATATTGTAAAGGTAGCCATATTGGTCCTGTTGATTAGAATTTACTTATTTAAGAGAAATCAAAGAAAAATCATTCAAGCTAAGCTGCTTAAGTTCGCTATGAGTGGCTAGTGGTTTTCAAATGTTTAAATACAAAATAAGGAGATGTGGTATGAATGCCAATGAGACAACCCTCCAACAGAGTCCAAATGATGCAGATTTAAGCAATCAAAGGTAATCGTATAGCCTTCAATAATGAGCAAAATCAATACCCCATAGTCTGCTATACAAGGCCAGACATTACAAATGAAAAATAATTCAATCTAAAAACCAACAGCTTAATTTATAACAAAACAAAATACGAAAAAGAAATATAACAGACAGCAACAAACAACAACTGAATTGCAGGCACATGAGTAGGGACAGACACTATGAAATAACAATGGCTAACTCTATCTTTATACCTAGGTCAATTTTACAAACTACGGTATTGAAATTCACAGTAGGTGAAATAGACCAACAATAGGTGTCACTTACATTTGCCATCCCAGCACTTTTCTTAAATTATCCTCATTATTAGATATACCATAATACCAGCACCTTTTTAGCAGACCTTTATAACCTTACAAAAAATAATGACAGAAAAACAAAACAAAATCTCCTTAAATCAAACCAAACTATTTTTACAATATAGAAAAAGATTATTTAGCAATCTGACACAGAAAGCTGTAAAATGTTACAAAAAAATAATAGTAAGACTTAGTTATCATCATTGGCTTTGCAAATTGATTTCAGTTTATTTCAGAAATGAATGATTTACAGCATTATCTTGCAGGTATTTCAGTAAATCCAGAAATAACTACATTAGATCAATGAAACAAGCACCTGCCAGAGAAAAATTTAATTAACTTACCAATCATTTCCATTGTGTAATATTAACCACCATAACCCCCTATACACTATATGGAGGTACTAAAATCACATCCATGTTTTTTTCCTCCTCATCAAACCCCCATCATGACAGAGATAACGAACTCATCGCAAAGTTATAAATAGCTGCACATTAATACCCACTGCATACCATTTCATTTCTTACTGCATATGATTTATCTAACTTATGCTTCTTTTTTTTACTTTTTGTATGTAATTAATTATACCACCTACTATAAAACAGTTGTTAAAGGACAGGTGAACTTTGGTTTCGGAAGAAACCTGTTTATTTTGTTCATTTTGAAATTTAATGCTTTCTACAGTAAATTAACTGGTTACTGCAAGGTTCTGATAGGATTTAATATTCTGCAATCCACTGCTGATTTACATGTCATGCATGTAGATCAAGATTAGAAACAAAATGTAGATTTTGTTGGTTTTAAAATATTCCGTTTCAGTATTTCTTATCAATTTCATTTAAGCATTAAGGGTGGGTCATACAAATTAAGATAGTTTTTTACTGTGCATTACTATGAAGTATCTCTAAGACATGATACTATTTCAAGCTTGATGAATAGTAAGTTAAATGCAATTGTATATTGTTTACAACCATATGTAAATGCTTTTTCTTGTGTTAAGTTCAAGTTGATGTCTTATTGATGTGTAACACATATCTTCTTCTATTTACGCCTAAAGGGTATAGAAATATGGTAATTCCTGGACCTGTCTAGTAGTAAAACCCTTGATGAAGTGGGCCGTCTGTTCAGCTATGCAGGATATATAATACACCGTCAAGCCCAGTCAGATTGGGGACTCTAAATCAGATGCCTCATGTATGAAGATTGCTTTTCTCTCAGCCTGTTAAAGAACCCTTGCAACAACTCTCCGAGGGCTCATAGGCAAAATGTGTACATGTGTACTTAGTTTCAAGTTGATGTGACTACAACTTCATCAAAAACTACCCTTACCAAAAACTTCAACCTGATATGAGAGACGCCAGAGACAAAAGGAAAAAGGGAAAGACAGAATAACAGTCGGGAGGAGGCACAGACCAAAAACATATTGACCATCTACTACCATGGGAAGGGCATGAAAATATAAAAGACCATGTACATTTTTATTTGTTTAACAGCACTCTTGTAAAAAGAAGCGGTTGTCATGGTTGCAAGATACCAAACTTTGTCACTTTTTTTTTGCATTTAACAAATATTCTTTCACATTTTGTCTATTTATATGATAGTTTATAAAACTTACATTTCATGCATTTTAGAGCAAATATTGACCTTCAAATACATCTACCACAACAATATTGACAATGTTCACTATATGAAAACAAGGAAGTTAAATTCAAATGTATTTAACAATGTACAGACTGCAAGCTTTCCTTCCTGTCATATTCATTATATATATTTAAATTCTATTTAAAAATCAACAATTCATTATATATAATAGCATTATATAAGACATTTTAAAGAAATGTATCTACAATTTATAGGGAAGTAATCAGTAATTTCAATTTCTGGTCTCTCCTTTCATCATACATGATATTATAATTGTAGTTGTCCTTTTTAAAAGTCTTTATTCAAAGACAGAGTACAACAAATATGTGAGTGCTGGATTTTCAAAATCAAAGATTTGGATAATTCTAGGGAGGAAGATGGTTATTGATTTCCCTTGATATCAGTATTCTTCTCCAAAAATAACTGAACTGCACATGCATTTGCCATTACACGAAAAATGATATGATACATTTTTTCATGGCTCCATCTAAATGTTATTCTTCCAAATTAACAATTGTCTTAAATTGTATATTACAGCCCTTTAAATATTTTAAAGTGTGCTGTACAAGTGCCAACTCCAACAATTATTAGTTGCAGGGAAAAAATTAAAATCTATTGATAAAATATTCAAGAGTTACAGCACTTTATTATATAGTGTATATGCAATGGTCTACATAATTCTTGTTTCATTTTTTTTTTTTTACATTGAATGCTTTACCTATTAATCAAAATGTGTATTAACCACGCAACTGCAAGACAAAAACTGGAAAGATCAGAACTTCCAATGTATTTTTTCCAATTTTCAATTAACAGCAAGGAAAGCCAAAACTGGTCATTTTAATAGGTCATTATATTTACATCTTAGGCTCAGCAGTTCTTAATTCTACATCCAAACCATCAACTGCCATCAGAGTAAGATTATCTCTGTTTAATTTCTTTAAACTGAAATTTTCGTAATAAAGTAAAGACACAATGAACCTGATGCTAAATTTTGAAGTCTTATATGTAGCAGCTATTTTTTTTTGTGGGGGGGGGGTACTGATTCTGCATCTAAGCATACTTCAGGAATAAAACCACTAATTCATAGCACCATTGCTTTCTATGTTAAATTCTGCAATTTCAAGGATTAATGGCTACTTTGTCTTAAGTTCAAATAAAGTGGCAGCCATTTCGTGTCAAAACTATACCTTAGCCTAAATTGTGCTGAAAGTTCAACATACCTTTAATTGCATATTAGAGCACACTGGTTCCCGGAAGTTTGGTAGTACAAAAACAGGTACTTCCGATCTGAACAACAGGGCAAAAGTGCCTCCTATTATAATTTCTTATATTTTTTTTATTATTTAAAATAATCTTTCAACAAGGGTCCTACAGTGATCCCAAGTCCTTAAGATTTTATTTGATACCAAATTTATCCAAATATTTTACTTATTGACAAAGTTACAGCTATGCATAGGAACTATTTTGTTTAAAATATGTACTACTTTTTTGTATGTTCTTTCTGACCAGGCCCAAATTAGTGGATCTATATCTTCAAGAGAAGTAAGTACATTCATAAAGAGAACCAGTTGAATCCAGGCTGACATGGGAAATTCAAATACAATTGATCAATATATTTCACCACTGCAAGAAAATTACTACTAGTTGTTATTTTGATAGCCAAACAGCACCTTAAACCTAGAATACTAGAAGGTTATTTTGTTAATTGATCAAGTCAATTATATAAGGTGTATCATAAGAACATATGAATTTTGAAGCAATAGTTTTTTCTCGATAACAATCTTGCAGGTTTTGTCCTTTCAAGACTTAAAAATTTAAAAATATTAGTTTAATGAATTTAAAGGAGCATTAGCTGTCAAATCTATGTTCACCAATTTGACTCATATTCTCATATTTGATTTATAAGTTACTTAAATGTATATCCAAATTACAAAAAGTCTAAAATAAACAATTTAACAATGCATGGACTCGATAATATGTATCAACATTTCATGTGTATTTTTGTTAAGACGTCTTCTAATTGACCATCGATATGACCTCCGAAGACTGCCGAAGGTCATATAACCCAATATAAACATAAATATAGATGTAAATAGATAGCGAACTCATGCATCTGAATTTTTCTAGGTCTGTTTGATTTCATATTATAGGTTATTATAGGTTATATAAAATGCTTCGCTGAGCGCAGCTGGATACGACCGCAGAGGTCCAACCCTGAACAGTTGGGGCAAAAATGGACACAATATTTGCGCTTGATACAGGTCTGAATTTGGATTGTAATTAAATATTTGACACATAATAGGTTTCTGACACCGAATAACTGTAGTTAAAGAACTTAGAATTGGTTATATGATTTGAATTTATATTCAATTTTTTGCTTTTGTGCAATACACTATGCTGTTGCGAAATTGAACCCCCCCCCAAAAAAAAAAAAACATTTACCCCCCTTTTCTTTTTGCTTTTGTGAAATACACTATGCTGTTGCGTATTGACCCCCACCCCCCCTTTTTTTTTTGCAAAAAGAAATAATATTTGAAGAAATTTTCTTTTTAATTTCTGAAATCTTAATTGCCCCCACAATTTCTTTTTTACCCCCCTCCCCCCCTAATTTTTTTTTTCACCTCCCCCCCCCCCCTTTTCCAAAAAAAAATTCTTTCCCTCAAGATATGGTCATAATCTCAATTCAAATTTCCAATGGAGTTTGCAACCATAATTACCAATCTGAATACATCATAAAAGTCTTAAAATAAAAAAAAAATCCCAACCCATATTTTTTGAACCCCCTTATGATTCCTTATGATTCATCACCCCCAAACTCAATCCCAGCCTTCCCTTTGTGGTATGGTACCTTGCAGTACAATTTCAGAGAGATCCATACACTTGAACACAAGTTATTGTCTGGAAACTAGAACTAGAGGGTCTCGAGAGCCTGTGTAGCTCACCTGACTCTACTTTGGTTTTAGAAATCATGTAAAGATAGATAAAAATCATAACAGATACCCAAATTATGATTGAGGCCAAATTTGGTTTAATATTGGTCCCGTTATTTAATCAAATATCCTGGTGGCCATCTTGAACAGTAAATCGGCAACAAAGTAGCAACACTTGGTCAGCACCTCATAAGGAACATTCATGCCATGTTTGGTTCCATTCCATTCAGTGGTTCTCTAAAAGAAGACATTAGTATGTATTTCCCAAGGGTCCTATGTTAAACTAAGTCCCCTGCTGGCGGCCATCTTGGATGATGGACCAACTGCAAAGTAACAACATTTGGTCAGCACCTCATAAGGAATAGTCATGCCATGTTTGGTTTCATTCCATTCAGACGACGCCTTTGGGCCAGGTGAGCTAAAAATGCTTGTTTTTTGGCCCCTTTTTGGCCCCAAATTCCTAAACGTTTAGGGCAATTACCCCCAAACTCAAACCCAGCTTTCCCTTTGTGATATGGAACCTTGCAGTACAATTTCATAAAGATCCATACACTTACACACAAGTTATTGTCATGAAACTAGAAAAATGCTTGTTTTTTGCCTTTTTTGGCCCCTAATTCCTAAAATTTTGAGGCAATTACCCCCAAAATCAATCCCAGCATTCCCTTTGTGATATGGAACCTTATGGTACAATGTCAGAGCGATCCATACGCTAACACACAAGTTATTGTCTGGAAGTTACAAAAATGCTTATTTTTGGCCCCTTTTTGGCCCATAATTCCTTAACTGTTGGTACCATAACCCCCAAAATCAATCCCAACCTTTCTTTTGTGGTATTGAAACCTATGGTAAAATTTCATAGAGATCCATTCACTTAAACTAAAGTTATTGTGCGAAAACCAATGTATCTTCGGACGATGACGCAGGACGAAGACGCCGGACGACGACAATGACGCCAACGTCATGGATGCTATAAACAGTTTCGTATAAAAAACTAGGGGTTATTCCCC